GACCCTCCATTGGTGAATTTATAGAGAATAATCGTTCTTCACGTGGAATTTTACTCTCATCTATACCATTGTTGGTCGCCATCTAAGGTTTCGGCATTGCCTGAATTTGACCCTTGCTCCCAGGCAATGAGAATTTAGAAGCATACGCTTTTCCCCTTATGCCATGGATCCAAATAGTGCTTTAATTGACGATTAAAAAGTTTGCTTAGCGCCCTCCATATTTGACTGGAGCATCACGCAAAAATTAGTATTTAAAGCCACTCCCTTACAAAGTTTGAGCATTGAATGAAGTCGTGTAAGAAGGCTGTTATTAGCTTACTTAGTGGTTGGTATTAGTCTACTTAGTGTTAAAGATATCGTTTTTCATTTAAGAAAATTTTTAACTTCTGAATTTTTCATTCAGTCTCATTATATACTCCCATGTCTTTTGCTATACAATCTTTTTCTAGATTCTGTTACCAAATTCTAGTTCTTCACAAAGATTTTCGAGAAGTAATATTGATATATTTTGATCAACCTGGTAGTTATCTAAAAAGTTAATGACATTTATTTCCCCCCTTACAAATTTGATCGTAATCGACCAGTTTGCTAAAGACTCTCTTTGTCCATCTACATCTATCTACTCGGGCATTCACTTTCCTCTCATCAGTATGCCCCCGCCTTGAAAGTATGTTGATTTTGAAGCATTCAAAATTGTTTTACATCGATGATGCTGATAAGACATCTGGGAAAGAATGAATGGAACTACTCGATGCTATAAACTGTTATGATTACTATGGCAGACGACTCTTGACTAGCTGGGTTCCTTAAGGCCGGAAAAGTTGCGAAGGGAAAGTCAAATCATTCTTTTTACCCTTTTAGATTGCAATTTTCCCTCTGAATATACTCCTGTCTTAAAAATAGGTTAACTTACAATTATTCATAATTAAGCTCCAAACATTTTTATTTTTTTAATTTTTTACAGGGATATTTTATTGCATTTTTTGGGTCCCCTTTAATGAAAATTCGCCCATTGAATTTTTAAGCATGGCCTTACTAAATCTGTAAAAGAAATGTAAATCATTCTGATGCATCCAGGCAATATGAGATTCCATAACTACTTCCTCAAACTATTTATGCATATCGTCGTCTAAACAGCACAAACCAATTTTGTAGACGTCAGATAGGCTTGGATAGTTTTTAGAAGATATGAAGACCAAGATGGTGTGGTCCTCATATGGTATCAAGTCCACTGTTTGATGCCGGTAATTATGTTAACTACTATGGCATAGGACTTCCAACAAGGTACGTTATACTAAGCGCCCTGATAACAAGACCAAGTTGCGAAAGCGAGGTCAACCCACTTAGAAAGCTTTTGTTTCCCAATTCTTAATTTCTAAGTAAAATTTGGATGGAATGAATTCGGAAATTAACCTCACTCCTAAATCGATGGGAGAGGATTATGCAAAGATTTCTTCACCTCACCGTCATGTTGGACTTTAGCTTATCCTTTGACAGATATAGACAGAGGCAGGTCTCCACCACTAAAAATTTGCAACAATGCCCATATCCAAGAAAATAATTGTTTTTACTCTGAAGAGATCTGTTACATAAAAGGCGGAAACTCAATGTGGATTAATCTGGGTTTCAGGACGGTAAAACGAGGAGCCCCTCTAACGGTCCTTATTTAGTTCTGGATTAGTTCAACACCCGAATCCTTACCAACCAACTTTTCCTTCAAAATTAAAAGTCGAATTATCAAGGGACTCTGAAACCAAGCTTTTGTTCATAAATCAGAAGCCTTTTATTTATCTGCTCCTTTATAAACATCTTTATCCAAAATATTTTTTGATGATCTTAACTGTATTTTAGTCTTGCCATCTTTGTCTAATGAGCAGCTTTGACTTAGTTTTGATCTAGACTAAGGAAGTTCATGTCTAAATACAACGATGCCCTCGAAAAGCACGGAGGAGCGCCAAGGAGATCTCTGAGAAATGAAATTGCACATAAGATGAAGAAAGTAATGAGAGCGCGGAGTTATTTCTATTCACTTCTTATTTCCGGTCAACAGTTACTAGCAGCCTACTTACAAATACATGAAACGCCAAACTTCCAATTGTACGTCTTCGAACTCAGATTTTTTTATGGGTATTTCATGCTATTGTTGGAGAGACTTTCATTTCGTATGAAAGTGCACGCTTAAGAGATTCAAAGGTCAATCTCACAAGAGGATGACGGCTGGCTTCCGTTACACTGCAGCCGTTTGTCTTTAATACGACGCTCAGGCTGGCGTAGTCCACGAAGCATCCTCGTTTCAGATAAAAACGGGCTGAACCGTCATCGGAATTTTAACTCATTTTTACTTTGAGTTATGGTCGGTTTTGTGTATAGACCTTAACAAACGCAGCGAGAGACACTCGGTTACAAGAGAATTAACCATACCTATATATACCAATCTATATCCTAAAGATTTCCAGTTATGAGAAAATATATCATGTAGGGAGGAGCCGGTCAGTCTTCTCGACTTAGTGTTAACTTAAGGCTTTTGCAAAAATGAGTCCCAGCTCTGTTGATGTTTGCCATACGACAAACGAAAGCTCAGCCCATTTTCTCCTCAAGCAATGAAGGATGTTTAGTGGACTGCGTCAATCTGAACGTCGTATTAAAGCCAAATTAAAGCTGCAGTATTTCGGGAATCAGCCGTCGCCTTATGGTGACGACCTTCGAATCCCTTCATGTGAACTTCCAACTATATTATCTTAGGGGATTAATCGAAACCCAGTTATTCGTATTTAATGCTAGCTTTAGAGACTATAAACCTTTAGTGAATCTAAAATAGTCACTATAACTATGTGCTTGGCTTTCCGCTACAGACGAGGATTTCGATGTGGGAAAAACACAGACGGTGGGTGCGGTGTTGGTGCAAGAGGGCAGTGTTCGGTCGCAGAGGGTAAAGATGAGGTCGACAGAGTTTCTGACCTAAAATACTCATGTGTACTTTTAATGCCACGTTCTGATTGGTTAATCAGAGAAGCTAGATGCAGCGACTAGATCCACCTAGTCTTCGTGGTACACATGAGTCATGCTTCGCTTAGTGTTGCATTAGTCGAGAGATAACCGTGAAATGTAGCCAAACTGATTGTGAAGTCAAAGTCACTACAATACTTACCCCAGAGGCTAAACCGAACGGGATAGACATGAAAGAGAAAAACAGAGGTAAATGAGACTTGCAGCAGATTCACAATGTGAAATGGACCTTTTTTCTTAGCTGCATAGGGTGTCTGTGCTGTATTATTTTAATTGGGATGTGCTCTGACTCGTCAATTTTTGAAAGCTTGAGCCTATCTGTGCTTACCACTCCATGATGGGCCTTTAGTATTAAAGTAGAACGTCGTCTCTGTAGCTGACACGAAAGGGACTAATGGTGCGGATAGTGGTGACAATACTCGGTCGTCTCTGACGTAGACATATTTGCAATTCGTAAGGCAAAGGCCGACTTCCGACTTTCATGTAGTTGGTCTGGAAGGTATGCTGCATAGTTTCTCCATTGTATCGGTCAAATTTCTAATGTAATCAGCAGATGGTACTTCAATTTTAGCATGGGAAACGAAATCATTGGGCAATCGTAAATGCTCATTTCTGCTGGACTACAGTCGGCTTCTGCTTTGATCGTGGTCCACAAGCTCAACAGGACTAAAAGCAAGTTGTCTGTCCACTTGTCCGGGTTTATCTGGCATCTCAGACAGGCTTTTAGTTGACGGTGGAAGCGTTCTACCAAAACGTTAGCTTGCGGGTGATGGGCTTTTCATTCTTAATAATTTGGATGGTTGGGCGAAAAGATCGGATTCGAATTGCCTGCCTTTGTCAGTTGTGATGGTTGCCGGTGTGCCAAACCTTGAAACCCAGTGAATGGCGAAGGTTTTTGCAGCTGTTTCTGCCTGAAAGTCTTGCATTGGAATGGTTTCTAGCTATCGTGAAGCGGCCCATAATGGTGGGGAGATAGCTATTTTCCTCGCAATGTCCATGTTGATGTGGTTGTACCTCTCGGACATCGGCTCGAAACTGCCGGTATGAGTCCTGGTGTGTATGTGTACCTTGTTCCTCTGACAAACTGGGCAGGCTTTAGTCAAATTGTCGATGTTTGCTTGCATTCATGACCAGACTAAACGGCATGTGATTAGTCTCCTGGACACACGCAGGCCTGGATGCGCCAAATCATGAACAGCTTGGAAGACCAATTTTCGCATGGAGGAAAGGACGATGTTTTCCCGTATACATGTCACATCAGATCCTCACACCTCGTGGCATCTCTACCTACGTCATCGCCAGTTCGGGCAACTGGTTAGCGGCGATTTGATTGCGTTCGCGTTCCTGTTTTTCTGCCATGGTTTGATAATCAGTTCTAGTGTCAGGTACAACAGAAACCATGTCAATGCGAGAGAGCGTGCTTGCGACGATGCTGTCTGCTCCTTTTATGTAGCGTGCATCGCTGGTGAATTGTTCGATTCAGTCCATTTGACGGAATTCGAG